ATTCAGAACCTTCTTATTTAGGGTTATGCATTAACATGTGATTCATATTCAATACTTCTGTCATCCTCGCTAGCCAAGGGTTTGGGATCAGCTACTCTCCTGAGGAAAGTAGCGGATTAGTTTGTTTGTTTGTTGTTTAATGTCCCTCTCGAGAATTTTTCACTCATATAGAAAAGCCACCTCTTGTCGGTGGAGGGCTACAAATTTTGACCTATACTCGGCATTCAAGGCCATTGAGCAGTGAGGGATCTTTTTCATGCCAACACCTACTGCGACACGGGGCCTCGGTTTATACGGTCTCAGCCGAAGGACCAGTCTCCACGTCCCGCAGTGGGATTCGAACCCGCGACGTAAGGATCAACTCCTTACTCCGCAACTCTATAGCAGATGCTCTAACCAATGCGCCACGCCGGCGTAGCGGATTAGAGACCCTTGGCTAGCGGAGATGTAATTCTGTGTGTATATGCGATATAACTGGCAAGATTGGAAATATGCACCTTACATCATTTCCATCTGTTACAGTCAAAACATTTAATGATAGACAATGAAATGGGCGGGTACAATTCTACACGGACGTCCGAGAAAACATTGGATTGAAATTCTAGTTTGAAATGCATTTTCAATCCACCTCTATCTACACATTGCGTATGAAATAGCTGAGGTGAATTGTCTATCATTAATGTTTTGACTGTGACAGATGAAAATGACGTAAGCTGCATATTTCCAATCTTGCCAATTAATTTTCCGCGGTCTTAATCTGGTGATTTATATTCAAAAAAGTGATTATCCATCAGCAATGATTTGTGATATCAAAATGCAAGCATCCTCGAGTGATGCAGATTCAACTTTGTTCAAATCAAGGCTTCTGGGGGAAGATAAGAACCAAAATTGGAGATCATAGTGTTAAACGGGAAAATAATTATAGAAAAAGATGTCTTAAAATTATATTTGAAAAAAGAAAGGCCAAAAACTGTCATATCAAACAGCAAATATACTTAAGTGTGCAGAAAAAAAATTGTTCAAAACATGTCCCTGGGGTAGGGTTTTGACACATTAGGGGATCAATATTTCACTTTGGAATACATGCATATACCTGTGTATAGGAAATTTATATAAAAACTTTATTTGAAAAATAGCAGGACAAAACCAAATTGTATTTATATGCAAACATTCCAAAACTGTGTGGATTTTGAGTGGTTTTTTTTTCTTTTTCAAATAAATGACCCCGGAATTAGGATAGGGATAAAATCAGCGACCAAGTTTTATATATAGCATGTAAAAAAAAAATCTTCAAAATGGCAAGGCCGTGATAGTCATATCGGTAAAGATACATCGATCCCTATGATGCATGAATTCAGGTTCGGGTATATATTGTGACCCTTAGGATTATGCATGCGTTGAGCCATAATATTGGGTCATACTTTTTTTTAGGTTAATGAAAGGGAGAATTGGGATTTTTAAAAACAGCTTGGCCACGTTGACGCAGGCAAACATTGTGGCCCATGGGCCTCTTGTTGGTGCTACGCTTGAATGGCAGGAATCGGGATCGTTCAAGACACTTAATCGTTGTGCAAATATTGGCTGGCGATCCGGCGTTGGAAGAGGACGACATGGGATGAGAATTATGTAATACTCAGACGCTCCAATCGATGGATAGGAAGAGACAGCTCTGCACTAACAATATGAGGAGTTCCATTATTTATCTCGAGAGAAAAAAAATCTATGCCTTTCTCTAGAAAACACTTTTCTGACATTTTACAACATTTTTATAATTTTGAACAAGGTTCTTCAATCATTCGTGTCACTGTACTTATCTTCTGCTTTTTTTGTAGATCTCACATCAGTTTTTTTATGCGATATTTTACTCATATTCCCGTGGAGTTTTTTTTTTTTTTTTTTTTTTGAAACACTTTTCATATTCAACTAAGCACCCCTCAACGAAAAATTAAAAAAAAACCTCCTTAAATATCTTGCTTTATTTCATGGTGTAGCGAATTAATGACTGATTGAACCGAGCTGACATATGTATGTACAGGGTTTACATTGTCGTCACGACATGCTACATAATTTATTTTATTCTAAAATAATCATACCTAAAGAAAATCTCAAGTTTTACCCACGAATTCCTAGTATTCATTTTTCTATTTGCTATTCCATTTTAATCTTGCAAGTGTACACAAATGGTGAAATCGAAGTATAATTTGCTATTTTAGTCACGTTGAAAGATTTACAATGTGCGATGTTATCTCACGTCTTTACTATGCAGCTCTAAATTTGTTATGATTATGACTTAGTTAAGAGACTTAAAAATATTATTACTCTACTGAAATCAATAGAAAATTTTAAAAAGCTTTCTTCATTCGTTTTAAACTTTCAATAGACTTCTTTGAACTTGATAGGTTTATTGTTCTGACTCCAGACAAACAGGAAGAATTAATTATCGAATTTGGTTTTACAGTGGACACAAATTTTATTTTTTTCCCCCATTTCTTTTATATTTACGTCATCAGATTCACCCGAGTAAAGAAGAAAGAACAGAAGCATTTAGAATGTACATGTATATAAAGTGATTGTCCAATAAAGAATTCAGTTACAGATCTGAAGAGATGTGGGGTCGGGAAAATATGTTTATATGGCATTTCTACAGTATTGCTACAATATCCATGAAGTTTAACAGAAAATAAAAGAAGGCAATTCCCGGAATCTGTTATTTATTCTTTGATCTGTGTCCTCTTCGGAAAATTATCGTAGTTACATATGTTTCGGATTATTATAATTATTTGCTTCTATTTTTCCAGAGGTATAAGTAGTTATGTGTAATATTATGAACTTTTGTAACAGTCTAAATGTTAGGTTAAAGTTAATGAAACTAAAACGAGAAAAACCACATGAGAGAACATTCTTTATTGAAAAAACATTAACAAGAAGTTACATCAATCTTCTCTCTGAAAAATTTCCCTCTGTGAGTTGGCTTAGCCTAGGGAATTTTTATAGCACTATCATTGAATTACTAATAGACAAATTACAGTTTTGTAATTAATTACATCTTCAGTAATGATTCAGATGTGCATACACCGCCTGAAAATTTATACCATAGTTGTAAGAAACCAAATATAAAGTGCTTTAATAGTATGTTTTATAATTCCATGAATGATTTGAAATCGATAAGAAGTCAGGACGTACATTGTTTTATTTGGCACCAATAGTTCCCCCATCAGAACTGATAAGCTGTCGTCGCTATATTTGGTTCTTTCTTTTAGAGAGAGGCAGTTAACTGGTCCAAAAGGCTATTCATCACGGTAGTTTGGTTTCTGGAAACTTTACCTTTGTCTACAATTAAATATATCAAATGTTAGCGCTAGAGCCCATCTACACCCACTTCCTACCATTAATGAAATGAGAAAAAGCTCAATGGGTCAATACAATAGAGCGTATTTCCGTACTCGTATTTTACAAGCTTTCAAGTGACGGTTAAGAATTTCAATTCGCCACCCTCCTACGTATTCCGTAAATGACACCATTTTTTTTTTCTTTGTAGGAAGTATTTTGCACTCCATGTGAAATTTGCCAGTTTTAATCATCTTAATCATTGTATTATATTCCCTGTCGGTGATAATCAATGGGGTTAAAATTCAATTTCAAATATTTGCTGAGTACAATTAAGTTTCAAAATATATCGTCGCATCTATTTTCCAATTTTCCTGAAAACGCACTGAATTGTTCAAAATATATTATAAATAAAAAATATAAAAGTAAAATAATATACATCAATTTCTCAATACCAGGAGAAAAAAAATTATATGGAAAAAGAAAGTATAAAGAACGACGTATGGTTCCAGTGTATCATTGTAAATATAAAGTTTCAATGACATGTTCTGAACAACTCCATCAGAATTTACACCAGATCACAACCAGCCATCCTCGTCCAGATTCAGTGAGTAGGTTTTTAACAATTCACCTGCATATACTGAGTGAACTCATATAGCACGCCTCTGGAATGTAATCTTGTGCCAATTAACTGATAATCGTTCAAAATGAATTACATAAAATCGCCATGTGAGCTCCAAACATCTTGTTATTGCTTCTGACACAAAGCTTGAAAATTCCACAGTCTGTCTTGGTTTTTCATCAAACAAGGCTTATCGCAAACTTGTTTTACCTTTGTTCATATCCTAAATAGATAAGTGTATACGTGCTTTGTCAAAATTATCTTTCTCAGTACAATATTATTATAATTAATATTCTATGCAGACTGTTTTCTGTTTTACCCTGTGTATATATACTCACTGAAATATAAAGATGCACTTACACAAAATTCTGATTGATTTGTTTGGACTGTATGACAAATGATAATCGAGATCTGTCAAAACAAGAAATTATTTAACTCGGGCATCTGCCTCGGAGAAAAAACCCCTCATATTTTGTTATTTTGAAAAGAAAATCTTGTACAGGATTAGAAGAAATGGCCGCGTTTAGTTTGAAGCTATTTAAAATCTAGATTACATCAAAGCAAAGAATCAGTATTGCCTGACACATAACATGATGATATACTTTATCATAGGCGTAAAAATGAAATGTTCGGGTGGTAATTTCTTGTTATCTACATTTGAAAATCCAGGTTGGATGAAATCTCTCGCAGACGTGGAGGCGAAAACAAGCCTTATCCTGCTATCTGTGGCTGGGGGTCTAAAAAAAACTACCCATTGAAACAAACGGTAAATCAAAATGCACATTTTCCTGGGTTAAATCAATTTATTTGATTTTGGAATATCATAGAGACACGCAATTTTATTCGCACAATTAAAGATTGAATCTGGATGCATTAAGTTTTTTGTCTCTCTATCACCGCTGCTGATGGGTCATTTGACACAATCGATCACACTATACTGACTTGGAGAAGTTGACAGAACAGAATCAGCAGCACGCGCACCTGCTGACCGCGAGCGGTGCGACTACCTATATATATTACAGCGGAACTGACTCCTGTCTAGGCAAAGGCAGGCCGGCAATGAGCTTCAACTGAATGTCTGTCTATAAATTGTAGAAATCATCATCTGAAATATAATAAACAAATATATTTACAAATAAATCATGGCTGGATTACAGCAATATGTGGGTTGCTGGCAGGAAGTGTCCAAAGAGGGATTTGAGGAAATGGCTGACGCTTTAGGTAGGTAATTATAGTATATTTAATTCTTAGGAAGTTAAAAGCAATTGGAAAACCTTAGATACGAATACATATTCTCAATTTCTTACCTTTGAATTTTTTTTTAAGATTGCAAGAGTTATAAGACAAGGATCAGAATTTTGAAAAAATCCATACTTGTGCATTAAGATTTTTTAAGGTCATTGCACTTTTTAATTTTGTCAATTAAAATTGGTTTAGAGTCTCATATACCCGTCAAACTCTATACAGACTTTAGTATTCTTTTCACGCGTTTCCTCAGGCGTTATGTGAAGAATCTGGATCAAAGATTTTCTTGGCATTCTTGTGATAGTAGTATGCAAGAATAACGTAACCTACCATCTTCTATCTGTAACGACTATCATCAACGCCTTTCCTTTCGTAAAGAACTAAAGCATCGCATACATAGAAACAAAACATAGGCGGTGAAAAATGCACTAAAGAAAATAAGATTTTTATAATGCACAATGTGCTTACCGATTTCATTAAATTGGTAACTTCTGTCCTTATTTTTTTTTTTTTTTTTAGCAATGCGACTTAAGATTTATAAAATGGTTGATGAATGTATGACAAATTATTTTCTCGTGAAAGTGCGCCTTTTCCCCCCGACATATATCGAGATATTCAGCATTATATGGGCAGATTTCATGAAAACTTATTTTTGAATGACCTTGATCGGACAAGTATAAATGATCAAGGTCATTCGAAAGTATGTCTATAATTCTTTTGATATCTGTATTTATTTGTGTAAATGGCGTTACACTATATACATGAATAACAGGCACGTAGCAACAGGGGGGCACTTTTTTCCAAAGACTTTATTTACTATTTGAAATGTTAATTGAAAGGCCGGTGCCCACTCCACTTTTTGTTGTAGAATAGTCAAATAAGGGTTTATGTAGTAGTGTATGGGTAAAATTTGGTATTGTAAGAATTTTTTTTTTTTTGCTTGTCAAGCTTTTTTTTTCCAGGTAGGTTGAATTTTTTTCTCTGGCTGCCCCCCCCCCCCTTTCAAAAACGATGCTACGTCCCTGTATAACTTGAGATAACGATGTCGCCCAAATTCATTTTAATTGACATTTATTTTCCTTTTTTAATGCATATGGCATTCGAGTTTTTGAATGTCGATTTATAGCAATTTTGATTTAATTCTGAAATAATAATGTTCAACTCCAAAGAATTATTTCTGAATTATAAAACTTAAAAAGTATTAAATATGCATGTAGCTTATAATTAGAATTGTCAATTGACGTAAAATTGCTGTAAAGAACTTTTTCTTGCACAGTAGTTTGGACTAAATGTTATCAAGTATCTATGTTTGCACTTGCTGCACTTCCCACTTTTTCTTTTATGGCACTATAAGTCAATTCTGTTATATATGTCGTATCATATATTTTTATCATTAAGACCTGTAAAATAAAAAAAATAAAAATAAAAATGTGTTATAGTTTCCCAGGCCTGATTTTTTTGTGATGAAGATTTGTAAATATTACACATGTTTTATAACAAATCGCACCAAGTTTCCAAAATGCAGATCACTTAGACTATCTAAATAAGGAACACCAAAGTGACAAATGGAAAAAAGGTCTTCTACCGTCACGTGATTTACAACCACCAAAACTCCGAAATGATTCTGTTAAACTACCAATATCAATGTGTTTATGTAATTTCATCAGTTAAACATATCTTTCAATGAAATTGTAATTGTACAAGAAACAGTTGAAAATGGAGATTACCCACCTTTTTTGTGGGCAGGCAGTTTATTGATGCTACTATTTTTTACATATGTGTTTACAGTAGGGGGTCTGTCATGTATTTTTTGTACATGTGTTGCATAATATCTCTAGTCCTTTGGCCCCCTATCTGTTGTTTTGTGTAGATATTTATTATCATATGTAGTATTATAGGGGGTCATGATTGTGTTCAGCACCACATGTGTTATTACTATAGTTACATGTTTATGTATGACCCCCTGTGTTGTATATATCTTTTTGTCATTTACAAAATAAATGACATTATTCATTCTAATACATGTGTTCTCATTTCGCCTGCTTTGAGCAAAAAACGAGCTCAGTCTCCTTGGCAAGGTTATACAAACTAAGGAACATAAATATATTTATGTTGAACGCCAATGTGGTCGAAACATTTTTTTAAAACGATGTAGTCGTTCGGTCCTTCTGAAATACAATTGTACGGATTTTTTTTCTGCAAATATGTAGCTGAACAGCGAGTATGGTTTTTGTGCCTCTACAATGTAGCTAGATGGATTATTCATTTGGTCACTATAATAATATATCTGAGCCCGAAGAAGTTAAGTTTGTATTGATGATCCATCTATTGGATGTCTTTCTCATACCCTTCGAGTTGAAGTTGTTACGGAATCTTGAAAGAGAACCAAATATCTTTTCAAGCCACAATTATGGGTTTTTGTTCCCCTTCCACTCCAACAAGCCTGCTTTATATAAAGTCATCATATAGGTTTTTATATCCCTCTCAAACTCCAACAAGCCTGCTTTATATTAAGTGACCATTATGGGTTTTTGTTCCCCTCGCACCCCAACAAGCCTGCTTTATATAAAGTCACCATTAAGGGTTTTTTGTTCACCCTCACACTCCAAAAACCCTGCGTTAGGGTTTTTGTTCCGCCTCGCACTGCAACAAGCCTGCTTTATATAAAGTCACCATTATATGGGTTTTTTGTTCCGCCTCACACACCCCAACAAATCTGCTTTATATATAAAGTCACCATTATATGGGTTTTTTGTTCCGCCTCACACTCCAACAAGCCTGCTTTATATAAAGTCACCATTAAGGGTTTTTTGTTCCGCCTCGCACTCCAACAAGCCTGCTTTATATAGAGTTACCATTATGGTTTTTTTGTTCCCCCTCACACACCAACAAGCCTGCTTCATACAAAGTTTGAGAGAATACATGGAGCCTATGTCTTAGAGCGATATAGCGAAGAAAGAGCAATTACTGACTTTGTCTAATGTGGATCTTTGAAGGCAATGGTCACTATAAAAACGCTAAGCTTAAATTTGAGTGTCACATACATGTACATGTATTTTCTTCATAACATTCAATATCATGGCATAAATTTATTGTCTGGCGTGTCAGAGAGATAGCCTGAGATGCAGCCATACTATCTCGGTAGATTACCATCACTTTTGACTATTACGTTACCAAATGTGCACAAAAACCAACATTAACCGAATTCCTGCATACCATCACCACGGGGATCGATCACCATTCCCTTGTTTTAGAATTTCGCTATGATGACAAGCCTTATCGTGTTCTGATCTTTTCATACAGGTCAATGACTACTTCAGGCCTAATGTTTGCATTTTATTCATTGAATGTGAAGATCAGGAATCATTTTCTCAATGATAAGAATACCTGTCAACTAAAGAAAAAGCTCTGTGCGGCTAACTTGTAGTTCTAACGTGCTTAATTTGCATATTGTTATTTAAATAAGAAAAAAAAAACATGACTTTGTTCCCAATGGCATATTAGCATACATGTATTTTTACTTTTATATCGTATTTCGTTTTTAATCGAAAAGTATCGAAATTCGATGTTTATTTTTTCAGTAAAAAATAATTTATTTTGTTCTGTCTGCATGAACGATTACGTATGGAAATTACATATACACTTGAAGCATATCTTTTATATACTGTAAAAATGTGGTTATCTTTATCAATACACATGTACTTTGAAAAATAAAGCTGTAACGGTAATATAAAAAACAGTTAATAATGATCTAAGGTGGGAGGTGGTGTAGAGATACCTTGAGGGATTTGACCTAGTACCTGGGGACAAACCGGAAGTTCTATTGGGACAGTCTGTCAAAGTTAGGCTAAGTATAGCCTCAACTACGCAAAGGAAAGGACAGGAAATCAATACCGGGACGTTACAACAGCAGGCCATTTAGTTTAGCTTTCTGAAGTTTTGAACCACTTCCTTGCCTACAGACTTATTCTTATAAAAATAAGGACATGTAATTTTTATTTATTTTTATTTTATATCATCTTTTTAAACAAGGAACTAAGAAAATTTATAACCCTTTAGATTTCAACGATAGGCCTGCTAAACTTATGCTAGACAAAACAATTCTCTCTCTCTCTCTGTCTATATATATATATATATATATATATATATATATATATATATATATATATATATATATATATATATATATAATCTTAATAGGAATTGGTGTATATTTAAACATACAAAGTAACATTCTTTTGTACAAAGGTATCTCTAAAATCGGAGACTCTGTATACACACTCAGATAAACGTTCATATAAAAATAACAGGCATGATGAAGAATTAAATTGATGAAGCACAGATTGCATGAGCTAGGTGATCAAACTTGTAAACTATACTGAGGCAAAATCATAGTCTACCGGACGCTTAAATTAAATTAAAAATTAAAGCACATTGCTCCCTCCTGATACACAACAAATGATGCAAAGACAATGGCAGGAAGCATCGGTAAAATAATGGGCAGGAAACTCTGAAAAATAATGGGCAGGAAACTAAGTAAGATAATGGGCAGGATATCCAGTAAAATAATTGGTAGAAAAATCAGTAAAATAATCGGCAGAAAAATCAGTAAAATAATGGTCTGGAAACTCAGTAAAATAATGGGCAGGAAAATCAGTAAAATAAGGTATTTCATTTACAGCAGGGAATAGTATCTCCTCAAAGAATATAGAAAAACACTGGAATTTTTTTTCTAATCATACGTATAAAACTATAATTGAAAGTGTCACTTCTCTTCGGACTATAGATTGTTTTGAAATAGTACAATTCTCTTTTCTGCTTGAAGTTTCAGTAAGGCGTGACATTCTCGGCGATACATAATTAGCATCTCTCAAATGGTGACCTAGATTCCCATTGCTTGCCAGATTAGCTCATCAATACTGAAATTTTCACAGCTTTTCATTCATGGGTGAAATACACAATTGGTCAGACGTCAA